GAGCGAAAAGCCCCAACTGAAGCGCCAACCAGTTCTGCCTTGCTGGCTGCCAACCACCCGCCACTAGAAGATCAGTTGTCTCGTTACACATTGTGGCCGGAGCATGAGAAGCTCTATGGCCATGGCTATGAGATTTCAGCAGTGGCAGTGAGCCATGACCGTAAGCTCATTGCTACCGCCTGCAAGGCCAGCTCGATTGACCATGCAGTAATTCGTCTGTATGATACATCGGACTGGCATGAGATCAAACCTTCTCTCACTGCGCACTCTTTGACCATCACCGACCTTTCATTCTCGAGCGACGATCGCTATCTTCTCAGTGTTGGACGAGATCGCCAATGGGCGGTCTTCCAGCGGAGCGATGCAGACCCAACTACGTTTACAAACCTCAGCTCAAACCCCAAGGGCCACTCTCGAATGATCCTAGGTGCCGCCTGGGCCCCAGCTACAACGGATCATGTGTTTGCCACAGCAGGACGTGACAAATCCGTGAGGATCTGGCAAAAGTCCGAAGACACTTTCATCTGTAAGACTACCGTGGCGCTGACATCAGCGGTCTCGGCAATTGCTTTCTTGCCCGCAACCATCAAAGGCACATATGTTATTGCTGCCGGCGAGGACAACGGTGTCATCTCTGTCCACCAAATTGCTGCCGACACTCTCGAAGCACAGCACATTGTGACCATTGACAAAGTGATCTCGCCTTCTAAGGCAATTACTCAATTATCATGGCGACCAGTGCAAGCTGCAGAGGCGGATACCACTGGTAGGGATCAATTCGAATTGGCGGTGGCAAGCGAGGACACCTCCACCCGGATATATGCTATTTCGAACATGCTCTCATGATTTGTGTAAAAAGAAAAATGGTTCTAGTCCTCCTTTATGAGTTATGATGGTTGAAAACTCCCGAGTGTTAAATAAATACTGTAGATGCAGATGTTCCATGAACCCCATTTATACCTTGTGATTAAACGCAATTGTTGAAACATTAAATGACTCCTGACTTCGGTGTTTCTTGAGGTATACAGCCTCTATCTAGCTCCTGTAGTTCTGAAGTATATAGCTCGTCGCGTATGCAACCACCGTCCTCAACGACGTATGACTCTAATAGTCTGATATATCTAGCTGAAGATGCTATGAAGGACATTATATGTACGTGACCTTAGGAGATCTTTTAAGAAGTGCCTTTGGAAATATCTTTAGATGTCCCTTGAGGTCTTCTTTTTTAGATATTCCTGGTCTCTTCTTGATGTTATAGCTAGAATACTAATGGGAAAAAATAGTATGGAATACACAGGGCTTATCACTCTATAATATAAAGTAAAAAGCATTAGGAATTCTAAGGTCCCATATGTACGTATACATATGTACATATGTGTAAGTATGATTAGCGGTTACTGATATAAAGCTACAAAGGAAAGAGCAGTTAGGATATTTAAGTAGAGGCCTGCTGAAATATCGAAAGCAGATCAGAACCCAACCAGGGTCCCGATGTAGATAAGCCCAAAGACAACGAGAGCAGTGGACTATCAACTAGCATTATGTGATGGGAGATGCTGCGTAGTCGGGCAAAATATTTTTTCTTCGGATGAATTTAAACACCTTGTATGAGACCCTTTATTTCCCACATAAAGATAAAATTTGAAGAATGTAGATTGTATCTCTGCTAGATACATAGCAGCTATTGGAGACTTTGGTCTCCTTAGCTATAGGAGGTGGCAGGCGAGGACACGTCTACACGCATGTATATACTATGTTGAACATACCCTCATAAGTTGCATAAAAAAATCAAAATAGTTTTAGTCCCCCCTGTATGAGTCATGATGGTTGAAAACTCCCAAATGTTGAATAAATCCTCCCTTTAGATGCAGATGCCAACCCATAAACCCCATCTATGCCTTGTGGTTGAACCCAATTGTTGTTGAATGGCATGTTAAATGACTCCTGACAGCAGTGCTCGCATGCAAAAATAGAAAAATAACAGGAAAAAAAAACGTCAGATCTCCAGATTAGTGCTCACTCATGTTTCTCCAGGCCGTAACCACCAAGACCTTCAAGGGACTGGTAGGTTTTGCCCTGGTTACCACGAGCATTCCGTGGGCCTCTGACTTTCATGTCCTCCTTGAGCCACTTCAGGACCAGCTCTCCAAGGCGACTATTCTCTGAAGTCCATTCAGGGACTTGTTCATGGAACGACTCGACACTACCTATCGCCTTGACCTTGCCCAAGTGCATGTGGGCCAAATGGGTAGGCCACTGGGCGAGGTTGTCCAAAATATGGGTAGCATAAACAATAGTGCACGCACGGGTCTCAGTCTCCCGCTTTAGGAAAGCCAGGAAATTGCTCCTGGACAAAAGGTCCAAGTCGACAGTGATCTCGTCGAGCAGCAGAACCTGCCAGGGCCGCAGCAAGCCCATGGCCAGCTGCACGCGGCGGCGTTCTCCATCCGAGACAGCATGCATGCGCCAGCTTAAATCGACATCAAGAATATCGATCAGCTCGTCCCGGCGCTCTGGGTAGGCGTTTCCGCCGACAGAGGCGAGCAGCGTCGGCACATCGATATCTGTGCGCACGATGCTGTTCAACACCCACTCGACTCCCAGATAGGTCACGCCATCTAGACTGTCCTTGAAGGGGTCCTTCCCACCGATGGCGATGGTGTTACTGGGTGCAAGGCGCTTCCCTGATAGGAGGCGAAGGAGGGTGGTTTTCCCCGCTCCATTTGCTGTGGGTTTGGGTTAGTTTTCGAGATTAGTTTGGAGATGGGTTTCACTCACCGCCGATCAGTAGAGTGCGGCTTCCAGCTGGTAGACTCATGCTTACGTTCTCCAGGCCATCTGAGCCATCTTGGAACTTGTATGAGAGGTTTTGTACCTCAATGGATGGGAGAGTGGGAGTGACATCCGCCATGATGAAAGTGGGAGAAAAATAAAAGTGTCGAAAGGACCGCGGCTTCAGGCTTAAAAGGAGGAAGATAAAAAAATGAGTCAGACCAAGCTGTTAATTAGAATTTATCTAGACTGATCTGATGTTATCGCTCATGTAACCTCGATGAGGCGATCTCCGGGGCCGGGGACGCCATGGATGAGGTAACCCGCCTGATAACAGATAACAGCTTTTTTCCCCCCACGTCGTTGCAATGAGTATCACGGTATGATCTCGGCTCTCCGATCTATCTGGCACGGTCAAAGAACCATGAATCCTCTCATAGCCGTTGTCGGCGCCACGGGCACAGGCAAGTCTAAGGTAATGACTCCAAGTATGGCGCACGTCCTCCAGACACAATGACTGATAGCTGTAGACAGCTTGCAGTGGACTTGGCCTCTCGATTCAACGGTGAAATTATCAATGGCGACGCTATGCAGATGTACCGCGGTCTACCGATCATAACGAACCAAATCCCGACAGAGGAACGGAACGGCATCCCTCACCACCTCCTCAGTTGCATCGACCTAGACGCAGAAGCATGGCGCATAGGGCTGTTCAAGCGAGAAGCTCTACGACTTATTGAAGACATTCACGCCCGTGGCAAGGTTCCTATCCTTGTTGGGGGTACCCACTATTATACCCAAGCAGTGCTGTTCAAAGAACAGCTCGTGGGCGAGGGAGTGGATGACGAGGGCGAGCGGGAACAGATCACGGAGTTCAGTTCAAGCTCGTTGAAATGGCCGATTCTGGACTCGTCGCCTGAAATCCTCTTGGAGAAGCTGCGCGAGGTGGATCCTGTCATGGCCGCGCGATGGCATCCGAAAGATGCTCGGAAAATCCGGCGGTCATTGGAAATCTATTTTCAAACAGGGCGGCAGGCCTCCGAGATCTATAAAGAGCAGTTCTCTCAAAAACGAAAGGCGATAGACAAGGAGGAAGGACTACTGCGGTTTGAGAATACGTTGGTGTTTTGGGTACATGCCGAGAAGGAGGTCCTCAACGCGCGCCTGGATGCACGCGTCGATGACATGGTCAAGCAGGGCTTGATAGCCGAGGCGGAGAAAATGTCGGAATACTTGCTGGAGAAAGCCTCCCAGGGTATTGAAGTTGATCAAACACGGGGAGTCTGGGTGTCCATTGGGTTCAAGGAATTAGCGCCATACTTCGAGGCTATTCGGGACGGGCAAGCAAGCGAGAAAGAGATTGAAGATCTCAAACGAAACTCTCTTGAATTGATTCGGATCGCCACACGGCAGTACGGAACGTCGCAGGTCAAATGGATCCGCAATAAACTCTGGAAGGCACTCACAGAAGCCGGAGAGACACATCGTCTTTATCTCCTGGACAGTTCCAATGTCAATGACTGGAACAAGTGCATCACTGAACCATCTGAGAAGATTGTGCAACTGATGCAGCAAAGCAAGCCGACTCCGGATCCCAAATCGCTTTCTCAGTTGGCAGCAGCAGAGTTCGGCGCGAAGGAAGCCCAGGCCAAAAAGCGTGTACAAACAGACCCAATCGGGAAGTGCTATACCTGTGACGTCTGTCAGAAGACTATGGCAACTGAGGACCAGTGGCATATTCATTTGAATAGCCATCGCCATAAAAGTGGACTGAAATCTGCGAGTAAGAAGGCACAGCGCGATGAATATTTCCGAAAGAAGGAATTGGAAGCGCAGGCGAGTCAGGCTCCTGAAACTGAACCTGGGTCATGAGCTCTTGCACTGCATAGCGAGCGATAGATTAATGTTTATAGAAATACCCAAAAGTCCTCGGTTATCTTAAACAGTCAGGGAGCATCTCCGTCATAAACTCAGGTGCGGGCAGTAGTCACTAGGTAGGACACCTCCCCTGTGAAATCCCTCGTATCGCCTCGGATCGATAGGACCAATTGGCAGTCTGTAGTATTTTTTCTAGATTTTTCAATTCCTGTTGATAGTCCGTTAAAGAATTTCAAAAAAGCAACTCAATCTAGAGTGAATAAGAGGCCATTGAAAGATTGAATTTATTGCAACGATACACAAGCGAACAAATTACATTAAAAAAAACTAACATACATTAGACATCCCAATCACGAACTTGCAGGGGTCGTGGTTGATCTCCAGGCCTTGAAAGCGGGCGAGAGAATATCGCCATGTCCTTGCTCCTCAACTTGATAGACCTCGATGACCGGGGACTTTTCCTTCTTTCGAATTCTCCACGTCCCCTCCTTATTGATAGTCTGCTTAAGCCCTAGAAGCTCTGTCAGTTTTGCTATAAACCTATCAGAAAGAACACTCACATTCCAAAAATGCACCAGTGAAATTGATGCAGACGTTTCCGTCCCAAGTACGCCGGCCGACACTCAACACTTTCCCGGGAATACTGGCCGTGTCCAGCTCCTCTAAACTACGACAAATGCCATTTTCATCACGGAATCCCACGATGATCTTAGGCACGCCGAGCAGGAATGACTGTGCCCAAAATTTGAGCAATTTCCGCTCATACTTGATCATATCGCGATCATTGCGGATTTGAGCTGATGTCTTCAACTCAACCCAGTTAATGGGGTCTTCTTTTCGTGGCGGCTTGCTGTCCCATACTATAAAAGAAGTCAGCGCTGGGTATAGCCACGGAAATCAAGGTACATAAACATACTGGCATCAACCTCTCCGCCGAGAATCATACGCACGTTACCGATCTCGGTACGGACAACGGAACAATACTGTGCTGCATTGTTTACAACTTGATTTTCGCGGCCTTCGATCTCTTCACGGGTTGATTCATCCCACGTCTTCCGAAGTACAGCCAGAGTTTCAAATTTGTAGCCTAGGATTGCTAGTTAGTCTAGGCAGAAATTTGCATGGGTTATTCTACACACCCCAATACATCATGAGTTCCTGCGGTGCCATTCCAGGTGGTGATCCTCGCTTGCTTTGATTCTCTTTCTGTTGGTTCTTGTACTCGTTGTTTTCTTCGATGAATCTAGAACAAGTCAGCACCTCATATAGTGATGTTGCTAGCTAAGTATACAGACATGGTGCCCTATGATATATATTAGACCATGGAAGCTTGACAGTCTTGCTGAGATTGATATCGTACCTGAAAAAAAGTTGCATTCATCTCGAAGCTAGAGATAGACCGGGGTTAGAGAAACAGCACGCCTAGCCAATAGACTGGAGATACGAACCCATTCATATTATCATAGGGAGCCGTTAGAATCTGTATACAGAAGTCAGAGTTGGTTCAAAACCAGATGATAGTCTGCGCTAGACTTCAATCCAACACACCTTGGTCATCATTCCTCTCCATGTGATGATGTCTACCTCACACTTCTTCTCTCTTTCTTGCTCATAAGCAACAATGGTATCAAGTAAAGCATTCAAGTGCTCATCTGGGACATCATTGAGCTTCTGGAATGTCTCATAGCCCTTGTTCAGGTCTGCAGGGAGAGCCGGCGTGTAGTAGTAAGCCATGGATGAATCGCCCAGCGAAAAACGACGCTGGTCATCATAAGAGAAGCAAGCAACTTCCTATCACCGTGTGAGCTATTTATTTATTTTCATTTGATTGGCATGGCGCTAGGTCTTTGGCTTACCCTTGGTCTCCGGATAGAGGTGTTTGCGCCGCCGAAGCGGTGCAGGGGCTGGATGTCAAAAGTAGACCGGTTCATGATGAGTATGTTGTACTATTGAGCAATTAACATAGTCGAATGAAGGAGGGCGATTGCTTGGTCCTTGATATAGATTGTTGCGACCTAGGTAGCTCGTATAGTCGTTAGGGATGCCTGTAATGGCGTTTGAATTATCGCAGTATCGCCGGAAACAGGGCCAAGAGAACGAATAGATTCAAAATCAACAGGAAGTGTAGATTTCGTGCAAAAACAAAGCTGGCAGTTCCAACTATAAAGTGACCATAAGGTATTTTTGAGAAGATGACGGAAGTGCCATGTTCTCCAGGGCTCTGGGCGAATTGCCGCGTCCCCACCAAATCTCAACTTGCTCCCCGCGAACATTCTTGCACTGCTCACTCTGCTTGATAGCGTCTTCGATTCTACTTTTCTTTGATTTATATGATCAGCGCTTACTTTTAATTGATAATGTCATCCCGAATTGACAAAGTCATCGCCCGCCAGCGAGAAAAGTGAGAATTCCACCTGGCCCATAACCACTTCGGACCACCTTGAACCTCAAAAGGTCCCATTCTGACCGTCTGTTATTGTCTATAGGATTGCTGATGGTGCATACTACGAGGCGCACCAGCAACTACGTGTTATTGCTGCCCGGTATATCAAGCAGTCCAACTACGATGCTGCCGCGGAGATCCTAGCTGGTGGCGCGAAAGAGCTATTGAAAGCCGGTTCCCAAAAAGGTGCATCGGCCAGTGGTGGGGACTTGGCCATCATGTTGGTGATTGAGGTATACAACAAAGCCGAATGGGAGATCTCGGGCGATGGTGATGATGCAGCAGGTCGTGCTCGGAAGAGTGAGTCTACCAAATATCTTTTTACTACAGGGGGTTGATTACTGCAGCGTGCGGTAGTGAATCTTGGTGCTTCAGGTTGGCCCAGTAGCTATTACAGACCTAACATTGCTAACTCATATTTTTGTCCTTCAGAGCGCCTAATCGAGCTGCTACGCGAATTCCCGTCAGAGGAGCCTACACGAAAGAGATTCATCCAAGAAATCATTGGATGGAGTGCAAAGTTTGGACCACTGGAACGAGGAGATGCGGATTTACATCATGCTGTTGGCTCAGTATACGCCGAAGGTGAGTGATATCGGAGCGCATGTTTGATACATTCTAATTTAGCGCTTTAGATAACGAGCCATACGATGCCGAGAAACATCTCATCCTCGGAACTTCCGAATCAGCCGAGACCCTTGCAAAGCTCGAGTATGAGTGGTACACCAGCGACGAACCGCACACTGCAGCGATCTATGCGTCACGCGCAGTCTTCCCATACCTCCTCACCGGAAATATCCGCAGCGCTAATAAAGCCCTGCTTATTTTCACTTCACGACTTTCAGCAGCTAATCCTCAGCTTGGTGTGCAGGATGTCAGCAGTTCCAACTCCGACATCCGGGTGTTCCCTGCCCTTCCTTTGGTGAATTTTATCAGCATGTTGATGTTGGCCATCCAGCGTGGAGGTGCCGATCTCTTCCGACAGCTCACTGCACACTATGCGGCACAAATTCGGGAAGTTGGTATCTGGGACGATGCTCTGGCTCAGATCGGCGAGCAGTACTTTGCCATCAAGATCCCCCGGCAAGGAAACCCCTTGATGGACATGATGAGCGGTATGTTGTTTGGAGGAGGTCAGAACAAGACAGCTGGCAAAGGAGCATCCAGAGCTGCGAAGAAGGTTGAGGCACCGCCATCGAGCATGGAACTCGATTAAGAGAGACCAAACGCGTGGGTCTTTTGAAGCAGGCCTTTGCGGGAAACATATCCAACTGATAGCGTAATGAGATCAAGATGCATACAGCAAGCGCAGCCCCGTCTAGTTAGAAATCGAGTCCTTCTCAGGCTCAAACATCCAATTATCGTCATCCAACGATGCTACCTTCTTGCGTAGGCTTTCGTGCACTATATTTAGAATCTCTGTTTCAGTCAGTATATGACCACAGAAACAACCATCGAACTCCAACCATACTATAACTTACCATCAGGTTCACCATTCGATTGTCTGGCCCGGTGCCGAACCATCATCTCCACAAGAGCCGCGTCGAACTCTGTATTAAGTATCAGTAGACTATACTTTACAGAGAAAAAAAGCACTAGGTCAAAGACATACTCTCTTTATCACGACCGGTGAGCTCTGAAGAATCGAATCCCCCATCCTCCGGCGCAAGTTCAGCCAGCTCCTCTCCATCCTCTCCAACCAGAGCCTGAGGCAATGTCGGAATCTCCAGCTTGTATCCACCATTCTTGTCCCGAACCACAATATCTTTATTCTCAACAGTTTTGAATGGTCGAGTATGCGGGCCCGAATCCGAGGATGTAGTCTTTAGCCGGTGCGAAGGGCGATTGGAGAGGCCGTTGTGGTTCTGAGGAACTGCGCCATTGGGTGGTCCTGCGGAAGCAGGTCGGCGGCTGAGGTTCCCGTGAAAGAGATTGCGGCGGACAGAGCTCTGATTCACCATTCCAGATGTTTGCATGACTGTACACACCACAATTTGTCTTTTTTTCTGTTGTGTTTGGCACGGAGGGTCTGAGAATGCGGGGGAGCTGTGCGCGTCACAGAGAGGCAGCGTCAACGTTTTGAGGAGCAGGTTTATTCCAGCTGTGCATGTCAGAGTATGTAAAATGGAGAGAACCGAGTCATGCCCCAGTTTTTAGGTATTAAGAATAATTGTTGTTGGGGTGAAAGGAGGAAGAATGGCGCGGAATGAAGTAAATGAGAAAAACGATCACAACAATGCCGGAATTGAACTAAACCATGTGCACAATAGTTAGCATATTAGAACCAATTTGACTACTAATGATCTTATAGATATTATACAGAATAAAACTAAAATAAAATCAATTAACAGCTTCGATGCCTCAATGCCTCAATGCCACACACACACATCTGAAGTGCACAGGCCAGCTGATAAGCTGTTATCGCGTTTCCCACGCGTGCTTCTTTCGCGTTTCTCCTTCACTGCACTTCTTCATTTTTGATCACCAAATTACTCACAATGGTTCAAGCTGAATCTTCCTCAAGTGCTTCTCGCAATGGCGCCAAGGCAAATACTGCTGGTGCCCCTGTGGACTATGAGCTCCCTTGGTAAGGTTTTCCTTTGATACGGACCATTGAATCAAAAACCCCTACGAGAGAGAATATTAAGTAGAGCTAACCTTTGGCTTGTTAATAGGGTCGAGAAATATCGCCCAATTTTCCTCGATGATATTGTTGGCAACACTGAAACAGTGGAGCGGTTAAAGATTATTTCCAAAGATGGTAATATGCCACACGTTATTATCTCCGGAATGCCGGGTATTGGAAAGACCACTTCTGTACTATGTCTGGCTCGGCAAATGCTAGGAGATGCATACAAGGAGGCAGTTCTGGAGCTGAATGCTAGTGATGAGAGAGGTCGGCAATTGCATCGTTCCTTTAATATTTTGGTGGTCAATACTGACGGTTTGATCTAGGTATCGATGTGGTGCGGAATCGAATTAAAGGCTTTGCCCAAAAGAAGGTTACCCTGCCCCAAGGACGCCATAAATTGGTCATCCTTGATGAAGCCGATAGGTTTGTTTCTGTCAAAGTCCCATTTTGGTCATTGGTCTCACATATTCCCGCAGCATGACCGCCGGTGCCCAACAAGCCTTGCGACGTACTATGGAAATCTACTCCTCCACCACACGATTTGCCTTTGCCTGTAACCAGTCGAACAAGATCATCGAACCCATTCAATCCCGTTGCGCCATTCTCCGTTATGCCCGGTTGACGGATGCTCAGGTTGTGAAACGGTTGATGCAGATTTGCGAGGCGGAGAAGATCCAGCACTCCGAGGATGGCATTGCTGCACTGGTTTTCAGTGCAGAGGGTGACATGCGTCAGGCTATCAACAACCTGCAGAGTACTTGGTCCGGTTTCGGCTTCGTCAGCGGAGACAATGTTTTCCGAGTAGTCGACAGCCCGCACCCAGTCAAAGTCCAGGCCATGATCAAGGCTTGCTGGGAAGGGAAGGTGGATGTGGCACTAGAGGGGCTGAACGAGCTATGGTATGTTGTGAATGTTCTTGCTTCGAGGCGCTGAAGATTTCTAACCATTTTATATCTATAGGACCCTGGGATACTCTTCTCACGATATTATTAGTACCATGTTCCGAGTTACCAAGACCATCCCCACATTGTCTGAACATTCCAAGTTAGAGTTCATTCGGGAGATTGGATTTACGCATATGCGTATCCTAGATGGTGTACAGTCACTACTTCAGCTGAGCGGTTGTGTGGCGAAGCTTTGCAAGATTAACATGAAACCCGAACTGTTCGAGCCTTCTAAGGCTTGAGACTCAAGAGTGCTTGTCTTATTGCATATTCCCACGGCGTTTTTTTTTTTTAATTCAAGTGACTCTGGAGGCAGATATCCTATCAAGCTACGTAATGAGTTACGTCTACCATATCCCAAAAATCAGTTCAATCAATGGCGATGTACGTCTTTCCGTCTGCAATTTGACCTAATCTCATATTCTGCCTATACATCCTAGATAGCTCAATTGGATTTGGATTTGTCGACACGACCTTTCCAGAGCTTCTCAATAACTGTAGCAGCCCCCAGTACCTTCTCTTCCTGAAGTTTCTTCCCGATGATCTGCAAATTCACCGGATATCCATCCACTTGTTTCGCATCGAAAAGATTCCAGTTCCACTCATCAGGACTGTTTCTTGGAACATAAGCCTCTGAGGGCAACACATCCAGCTCAGCCCTCACCCTATCTACCGGGAAAGTCAAAGCCGGATAGTCCAGCAAATTCCAAATTTTAGTATAGCCAACCCAGCGGAGTTTCCGGTGGGGCACAGTCGTATGCGGCAAAGTAGGGCTCAACAGAATATCAACAGCTCGGCCCGACGGAGACCGCACCGCATTCCATTTATCCAGATATTTCTTTTGCACCGCGAGTTTCCGCTTGTTCAGCTGCCAGTACTCATAAATCGAGATAGATTTGCCGCGGTTAATCAACTTTTCAACGTGAGGAATGAACGGCTCGCCGGCAGCGGCTACATCCCGACGAATATCCTCACCCCCGTCGACCGTGTAGAAGAGATCCATAATTTCAATGCATTCGGCATGGTCCGATGTATCCCAGATCACAACCTCGTGCCCATGTGCTTTAAGCACTTCTGATAGCTCTAGCAGAGCGCGCGTAATAGGTGGGTGAACCTTCACCACGCCGTCATCCAGGATCAACCCGATGACCATAGGTCGGTCTTGGATTTCTTGGAATACAGTGTCATTCCAGAGAAGAGGGGCGCATCGCGGATCGACATCCCAGGGCTGGCTATTCGCCATCAGTCGGCTCATGTAACAGATAGACGGGAGATCTCGGGCCATCGGGCCGATGGAAGATGGGACATGTTCTTGGCCTTCAGTGGAGACAGGTACGCCCTCGTACGGAAGTCGGGCGCTCTGTTTTTAGGGATCATAAGCATATATATATATATATATATATATATATCAATAACGAGAAAGAAGTTTCTTCATGGCAGTCAGTACTTACGCTTGGTTTGAAGCCATACAACCCCACTGTAGACTGAGGGATTCTTACGCTCCCGCCGATATCAGTTCCAAACCCGAGGAGTGATCCGTGTAATGTCAACAAAGCGGATTCTCCACCGGTTGAGCCACCGGCTGAAAAAATTGGATTGCGAGGATTACTGGTGAGTCCCCAGAGAGGATTCTCGGTTTCGGCCCACTGGAGGTATAGTCAATCTCCAAATCCGATACTGAGAGTGATAATCTCGGACGAACCAGAATGCTTTGTGGAAGATTTGTCTTCGCAATGATGACGGCGCCCATGTTCTTCAATATCTGCACGAGCACTGCGTCTTCCTGGGCGGGGGCGAAGGACCTGCCCACATATCCCAGGGTCGTGTCAACACCCTTGACGTTAAATTGGTCTTTCAGCGTGATTGGAATTCCATGTAGGGGACCTTTGAGCTTTCCAGTTACTGCAAATTCGGTGTCTAGCTGCTTTGCCTGTTCTATAGCATCTTCGAAAACAACCTCGGTCAGGCTGTTGGTCTATCCATGCCCGATTCTATCAGTGGGTTGGTCGGAAATGTAAATGGAAACGAAGATGTGATTAAAACACATACCAACTGATGTGCTACCACAGCCCTACGGATGATATCAGTCTATGGTCTGTTCCGCTTCCGACCCTTGATAAAAGACGTACCGTTGGATATATGCCTTGGTCACTTGCTCTGCTCGAAACTCTCCTTTCTTCAGATATTCCAGCAGGATAACGACATTGTCAATATCTGTGATCTTTTGAATCAAAGGATCTTCTAGTCGGGTACGTTGCTCGGCATTCTGTACTTGCGGCAGACGTTGAGCTACATCGACTAAGTACGGTGCGAGAAGTTGGTCTCTGATGGCCCGTTTCTTTGAGACAATATCTTCCCAAGTCTGTAAGCTGCTCATGCTTGCTATGAATTGAATCTTTGCTAGCCCTGTTGGGAGGTCAAGACTAGCTTTATATGGTCTGCTCGGACAGTACTCCGAGGGGCCGTGTTATCAAGTGGGGACGTGGCACACTCATGTCGAATACGATATTTGGGGATCATTTTCCTCTTTATCTAGCCGAGATTTGCCGTGTTTCCCGCAATAATAATCCCTTGCCATTTTGAATCTGTAAAATATCTAAGAGAAGAGAAAACGATGTTAAAAGACAAAACAGCTGAGAGCGGGGGCGAATTGCCCATGTGGGTCAAACCTTCTTGGACCTCATGGATTTCACATGTCCGACCACCTCTGTCTGATAGAGAGCTATAGCTCTAACAGCTTTGCTTCATAATGGAATCTAGACGATCTCCGACCGGCTCTGCCACTGGTGCCATCCGTTCACATAAAACTGTTATTGCCAAAAGGGCCTGCGACCAATGCAAATTTCGCAAGATCAAGGTGAGATAACCCCCTTTATGTATTAAAATGGTGTACTAAACTGGCTTCAGTGTAGCTTATCACAGCCTTGCAAGGCTTGTGAGTCCATGGGCTTCGAGTGTACATTCCTTCAGCCACAGAAGAAGCGCGGACCAACCGGGCAGTGAGTAATCATCCGTGACTATGAATAGTATCACTGACTGGGTCGAAGTCGCGTGTCGCAAATTCGACAGCAGCAAACTGTCATAACTCCCCAAGAAGAATCTACAAAGAATGCTTTCCAATTTCAAACTCCAAATTCATCCGTGGAGTCCGGACAAGCGGGTTCTTTACCCGGGCCACCTTGGACCTCTACCCATGGACCAGCCACAATGCCCGTAGAGGGGCCCGGAGGACTAGCGCCTTCGGGTATACAGGCCCCAATGGCACCCTGGGGTGAGGAAGCCACATCCATAGAAGCTCACAACACCAGCAACAGCGCCGTGAGCTGGAACGAGCGAAACGACGTCGAGTACTGGCTTCCAGATAATCTGGACTCTCAAATCCCTGTCTTTGAATTCCCAGGAAGTAATGTTTATCTCAAGCCATCTCTCCCGTCTATCATTCAGCCAGTCCCTGATGCCGGGTCCATGGGAATGCCCCCGCAGGAAGCTCAAAATATGCCATTCTCATCAACCGTGGGGCCTATGCATTCGAATACCCAGGAGACTTCTGCAGTTTGGCCACCCACAATCAGCGAAGCGAATATGATCCCTTGGATTGATGTCTACTTTGATCGATTACATCCAACCATACCCGTTCTCAACCGATCAGCCCTATACACTTCAATGCTCGCACAAGAACACCGCAAGAACTCCCAGTTCGGAGCCATGCTCTTGTCACTGTGTGCATTCTCGCTAACACAGCCAATTGAGATCAATGAGCAACCCACAACCTCATCCCGAGCTCTGCAGGCACGAGCTATGATGCATGAGGCGACCAAAATGCGAAGCTGTTCGGATTTCGGCGAGAACCCAACTATTGAAGCTGTTCTAACCAGCTTTTTCCTCTTTGGCTGTTTGTTTGGAAGTAACCAGCACAACGCAGCGTGGCTCCGGATACGGGAGGCACTAGATCTTGCAAACGCGCTGGGACTGAATGATCCCGAGTCATATCACGATTTGTCTGGGGAAGAGAAAGGCCAGCGTTTACGAACGTACCTTGTCCTCTCTATTACGGAAAGGTAAGTAAATGACTTAGCCCTCTCAAAATCAACTTGCTTACCATAAACCTTAGAGCCTATGCTTTGCAACACCGACACCCAATAACCTTCTGGGGGAAGCCAGGATTCACTATGCGGTCAGTGCATGACTTCATCCACAGTGCCACGCACAGTGTCGTCTCTGGCGTTATAGTCCACAACGAGAAAGACGCCGAGGGGATGATGGGTCTTGCACGGATGATGGAACTATTCGATGCGATCGACGAAGATGTCGTCGATTGCTGGAACCGCCGATGCGATATCAGCAACGGGTACTGCCAGCGACTTACTGAAGTCAAGGCACTCTCCATACATCAGAACCTCAATCGTGTCAGCCAAGCCGAACGATACCGGGGCTATGACTGGTTCGAACGAGCCAAAGGAGGCCATGCCGAAAACAATGCCATGTTTACCATGGGGCTACGAGAAACCCAAGCGGCCGACGTTTTCATCACCCAGAAATGGCTCCAGAACCGTGTCTGGCTCCTCACCTCAACTCACGGGCTTCTGAGTGCTCATTCAGAACAACCCGAGCTAAGCTTCGGATATGCCGTATCCATTGCTGAATCTACTCTCCAGTTGTGCCAGTCATTACGGCTGAGCTCTATGGAAGCTCATGGTATCGGTCTGGTATGTAACCCACTCCCACCTATCACCTGCAGATATGTAGGCTCAGCTTGTGAACTGAACCTCATACTAACAACTCACTATGTAGACCGAAAAACTGTACGATATTGCAATCTGCGCAACAAACGTCCTTTGCAACACAAGCTCGGCTTACGGGGGCTCCATGAACATGCCCGCCAATTTCACTGAAAGAATACCATCAAGTGCAACTGCCACGCCCCAGAGCCTTGCAGAAGACTTTTTGTTACTTATGACCAGCTTCCGTGGTGGAAATCATCCTTATCTGGAGAAGTATAGAGCTCATCTACGCTCACTACAGATTATGGAACCAAAGGCTACAGAGTGGCAGCAACAGCAATGATAGGGTGTGTTTGATTTGATCCAAGTCGTGATATTTCTAAATTCTTGTACGAAATGGGTCTTCGGGTTGTACGATTTACTTTTTTAGACTTGATTAGCGCGTGCTATACATTGAAAAGTCATTTTTCGCGGACTCTACAGCCTGTCATATAGCAAGTTTAACTATACCCAAATTTATATATGTTCATGCTCCCTAGTCCCTGGGTACGCATAGAAAGGTCGTCTGCACATTTACCACTTTTTAATGCCTTTTTCTGTCGTCTATCTAGAAAAGAAAACTGGGAAAGGGGAGAAAATATCAAAGATTACATGTCTCAAGAGGATATCTCTAAACACGACTACGAACACATCGCAAAGTCGCATAGGTGGTCGACTGTTTTTGTTGATATAATGCGAAGATTATAGAGCATTTGCTTTGCAAGTATATTTACAGACTCTAATTAGAAAGATGAACTGTTCGAGGCCAGGTCACAAAATCTTTGTCGTATGAGACCCCACTTCAAATGAAGTCTCATACGATCTCCATTTCCACATAGGGATTTTAGCCGCATACATCTCATCGATCTCGTTAAAAGTCCGGCCACGCGTCTCAGGCATGAAGAAGTAGAAAAAGATAATGATGGCAGCCATACAGCCAGCAAATATGAGATATGTCTTCGCGCCAAGGTTAGCAGCATCGGCTGAGGTCAACCGTGGAACGACAAGAGTGGTGATAACGGCGGTTGTTTGCGCACAGGCAACTGTGTAGGACATGGTGTGGTGGCGGAGTTTGGGAGTTGCCATTTCAGAGGGCATGAGGTTTGACAGCGAGCAGAAGGAAGATGCCCAGAAAAAGTTGAATACAAATGACAAAATGGCGATGGCCATAGTTGCTTGCTTGTTGTCTCTGTCAAAAGCTAGACCACCAGCCACGGCGTCGATTATGAACATAATCCCCATCCCGATAAATGCCGTAGGACGTCGACCGGCACGGTCGATGACGAAGGGTGCGGCAATGGTGCCGGCTAATGTGCAGCAGGATGCGATGACTGTCAGGGAGAAGGGATCTGCAATGCCCAGCTCTGTGAGGAAGACGGTTGTATATGTTGTCGAAAGAATGATGCCTGATATTTGGTTAAGAGAGAAGAACGAGCCCGCAGTCAGGGTACGTTTGAGATGCTGTTGCTGGAATATGTGCCAGAACTTGGTCTGGTTGCGTAGTTCGCGCTCATTTTCTTCAGACAGCTTCATGAGATGGAGTTCATCTTCGACCTCAGCGTCGCTGAACCCACGCAGTTTCCGTAGGCTGTTTCGAGCTTCTTCTATGCTTCCCTTCCCAGCCAGCCATTGTGGACTTTCTGGAAGAGGAATTGTCAAGAAGAGAAGAAGTATAGGTATAGCACACTGCACAGCAAGTGGGATCTGGTATGACAGGCTCCCGTCGATCTTCTCCGTCCTGAAGACCACCACGGTGCCTACCACGCCAGCTGTTAAGTTCAAGATATTCATGGAACTGACACATCTTCCACGTATAGATGCAGGAACCGCCTAAATTTAAGAATGAGCGTCATTGAACATCGGAAAAACGGGACATGATCAATACCTCGGAGATATACAAAGGGGCAGTCACACCCACGATGCCCAAAGCAATCGAATTGATAGAACGACCTCCCACAAAGGCTCCCAAATTCGGCGCAAAGACCTGTAGCAATCCACCACCCACAGATACGATATATGCAATCATCAAAGGCCATTTGCGACCAAAGTGGAAATTCATTGGTGAAGCAAGCAGACCTCCAATCACGGAGCCCACCAATGGAAGGGAGAAGACCAGATTCTGATTACGAGCCGTAAGGACATACTTCCCAGTGGCTGGGTTAGGTCCTTGAAAGTTCTCGACCTACATTTCAAATCAGCTGGGATCATCTTTTGCTATCATTGCAGCAGCGCTCACAAAATCCGGCAATGCAGCAACCGGAGAAATGATTTTGTCGTCGAATCCGAATAAGAACGAGGCGGCAGCAAACACTGTGCAGGCGAAGATTAACTGAAAGTTGATTGCTTGGGACTTTCGGGCCGAGTTTGAGTAGGGGACATGTTGGATTTCAGTTGGACCACCCTTGAAAGGCATGTTGCAGATTCTCCAAATCCAGGGGAGCCTACACCCTTGAAGACACACTTCCATGAGGATGCTCTCCTATATTCATATCGAAGAGACAATTGTGGACTGGAAGTTCCCCGGATCCCCCAGATTTGCTCCAAAACTCTCCCCGGATTTATTTGAAAGAGTTTCTCCGAGACTTCCCATTTCAGTCAATTGCAACACTACGGGGATGAGTTGATACACCTCATTGCATACGGAGTACATATATTCCATTACCGCATCCGAGTATCTGATTCTCTATTTAACTGATTATCTACCCTCTGATCATCTACTCATCTTCTGATTTATTTTGATTTCTTTTGATTTCGCCGACAATCCTCCTGCACATCCCGAATCTATTCCCGATTAACCTCCGAATAGGGGAATCGATCTTGGAGATCACGTCTTTATTTTCTATGGAAAGGCCTCTTCTGTAAATCAAATCTTCAGACCATAATTTTGAACTCAGGGAATACCGCATGTGTTTGGTGGGCAAAGTGGCTAAGCCTGAACTGCAATAGAGAGTATATCTCTATCTGCTCCTCTACTTTCTACTTTTGCATCAAATCCAATACTAAACATGGGTGATCCGATCATCACAACAGAATTGGACGTTCCTATCCTCAAGCCTCTGCAAAAATCTGGGCAATCTCCTTTCCAAGCCTGTGAAGTCAATGACATCTCTCACGAAGAGAAGTTACCTCAAAATCCTTCACAATGGAGGCCATCATTCCATATCACAGCACCAGCAGGATGGATCAATTACCCATGTGGATTGGGATACGACCCAACAACAGGATTATATCATTTATGCTTCCAATGGAACCCACACGGGAATGATTGGGGCAATATCTCCTGGGGTCATGCTACATCCCCAGATCTCGTATCATGGACGACATCCACCGATCCAATCTTGGCGCCATCTGCTGAATACGACTGCCGTGGTGTGTTTACCGGATGTCTACAGGCAACTGATGCCTCTGGACACCCGGGAGCTCTCACAATCCTATACACGTCCGTGAGACATCTCCCAATCCACCACACGCTACCATACACACTTGGAAGTGAGTCTCTCAGTTTAGCTGTCTCACAAGACGGAGGCAATACATGGGAACGCCAGGATTGTAACCCGGTACTCACTGGCCCGCCTTCACATCTCAACGTGACGGGCTGGAGAGATCCGTTCATCACAACTTGGGCTGAAGGTCCTCTTTCCAAACACGCACCATCAACACTATATGGGTTTATATCAGGAGGAATTTCCAAGAAGACTCCAACAGTCTTTGTCTATACTGTCCAAGCAACAGACCTCGGCAAATGGGACTTCATTGGCCTATTGGTCGACGTTGGCCTTAATCTACGACCATCTCGCTGGTCTGGTGACTACGGCGTGAACTGGGAAGTCGCTAATCTAATAACTCTGACCAATGATACCGGCATGTCGCGGGACTTCATCATCATGGGAGCCGAGGGCTGTGGGCCGTTAGATAGTTCAAACCAAGGCGCGGTCCAAGAAGCACGCTGGAAACGAGAAGCCCGAGGCCAGCTCTGGATGTCTGTCAAATCTAACGGAGAAAAGAAATCCTCTTCTACAGATGGCCCTCTGGCCTCATATGCATTCTCCGGTATCTTCGATCACGGCTGCTACTATGCAGCCAACTCGTTCTACGACCCTCAAACCTCGCAACATATCGTCTATGGCTGGATCACGGAAGAAGACTTGTCTAATTCTCTGCGTCATTCCCAAGGATTCAGTGGCTTGGTTTCACTTCCTCGTATGGTGGGATTGATGACATTGAAAAATGTCAAGAAGGCACGGAGCTCGCAGTTGAGTTCGATTACTTCAATTGAGGCAGTCGCTGATGCACTTGGTACTGGTACCTTCACGGTCCATACTATGAAAATCAGTCCTGATAGCCGTCTTACGCGGCTGAGGCAAAGTGCCCAGGAGAGACACCTCGCTGGCGTTGCCCTTTCTGCATCATCTTCACAAAGTGCTACACTGTTGGGGACATCTAAATGGGAAATCGACGCCGAATTTTCTGTTAGTAGATCATGTGCACGTGTGGGTATCAAGATTTTACATACTTCTGGTAAGACATTGATTCTAATTCTCCAGGTATATTGTGAATATACTGATACTCATATAGATGGTCGGAACTGTACGACCCTTTCATGGGATCCACGAAGTGAGACCTTCGAAATCCATCGACCACTGATTGGCAACGCCGAAGTAAACCATGGCTATGAAACTGCTCCGCACACGCTCTTTACCTTCTTGAATGAGGGGGATGAAGAGGTTGAAGAGACGCTTCGGGTACACGCCTTCTTTGACTCAAGTGTATTAGAAGTGTTTGTCAATGATAGAACGGTCACCTCTACTCGAATCTACCACCCAGCAGATCATTGCTTTGGGCCATTGTTCTTTGCAGAGTCTGATGCTGGAGTGAATGATGAGCAACCAGCTGCAGTTCTCGTGCGAGCTTCTATTTGGGATGGTCTTGGTGTACGAGAATTAGTGGATACACCCTCAAGGTTGTAGACATCCATGGATATCTTGTTACTTTGTGTACATATAAATAATCAGGGAGATTGCAATATGCGAATATTATGAACATTATATGTAGTATGCGCCACATCTAGTATGAAGTGCACTAGATCTCGGTAATAAAACAGGGTAGAAGAAGACGTGGCGCGGGGCATCATGAAACCAGCAAGAAGATGAAGCAATCAAAATGCACCTGCCTAAAGCCATGGTCATCACATCGTCGCCAAAAAAGGCTTGCATTGCAAGCGCGAATACACACAAACGAAAAAGACAGTTTTCACTCCGTGCCGTACACCCCAGCTATATATGCATGAGTATCACAATCATAAGAGCAAACAAGATCAGAGCGGACAGAGAGCTCCCCCGAAATTATCGGGAATCGCGCTTCCAGAATTTCCAGCTGGGAAGGTCAATCCGACCATCTCGCTGGTAGATACGCCAGTAGTAGACAGGGACGCCGGTGACGATGAAGCCGACGACGATGAGCGTTTGCAGGGGCTCGGAGATGACAGCTCGGCTGAGGAGGAACAGGCTCACGCAGCAGAAGATGATGGGTGTGGTGATCCAGGTGCGGTAGGGACGTTCCAGCTGGGGTTCACGGATACGGAGGATGATCAGGCCGAGAACGGTGAGGAAGTAGAAGGTGTATCCAGCTACACCATAGAAAGTGACTAGGGTGCCGAACTCGCCGACGACGATGTAGAAGGCTGTCAGGACGCCATTAAATGCCATGGCATAGATCGGCGTGAAGCCGAACCTGGATTCATCGCCAAAGACACGGGAGAGGGACTTACGGGCCCAGGAGCGGCGGCGTAGTCGGCTGCTTGCTGGAGGGCCCTGCGAGGGGGAGGCACGGAGACCGATTCGGCCGAATATTGCGGGAAGATACCCTTCCTTGCCCGCAGCGTAGACTAGTCGGCCGCTGGTAAAGGTGGTTGCGTTGAGGGCTCCAAAGCAACTGGCCGAGACAACAAGAGCTAGAATCAGGGCTCCTACGGGGCCGAATACTTTTGCTCCGAATTGTACGGCGACAGTGTTAGTCGCCTCAATGGTAGAGTGAGGAAGAACAAGGAAGTATGCGACATTGGCGAGCAGATAGGACAGGATGACCAGCGGCATCGCGGTGTGGATGACTCGTGGTAGATCGCGGTTTGGGTTCTTGAATTCGCCCGTCACATAGTTGGTCTGCAATGTGTGTGAATAAAAGAATTTTGGAAATAGCTGAGCGTCAACTTACATTGTCCCAGCCGTCAAATGCCCAGAGACCTGCGTACAGGGCTACTGCGAAACCAGAGATCTCGGTGTTGGTTCCCTCGAACCATCCTGTCGTCTTCCATTCTTCATTCGCATCTCCTCCAGCTGAGAAGCCAGTGATAGCGACTACAATACCAATGACGGTGACACCCAGCAAAGCAATGAACTTGAAGAACATGAAGAAATCACCAATGCGGGTGGCGAATTTGGTGGAGACGCAGTTGAGCAGAGTCACTGTCAGAAGCCCTCCAAATGCAACAGCCTTGTTGATCCAAGGATTGAGATCGCTCACATCAGCGCCCACAAACGCGCGAACAACATATTCGCCAAAGATGAGAGAGATAATCGCCGCAGACCCAGGCTTTAGTACTAACACGGCGCACCATGCGAACAGGAAGCCTGTCAGCTCTCCAAATATCTTAGACAGATAGACCTGCGAGCCTCCATTCAGCGGAATCGCTCCTCCCAGCTCTGCGTAGCTAGCAGCACCCGTCCAGGCCAATAGACCAGCCACGGCCCAAACGATGAGCGAGGCGCCTGGCGACCCCGCGTTCGCATTGACCTGACTAGGCGAGGAGAAGATACCAGATCCAATAATTAGTCCGACAATAAGTGACAGCCCATTCAGGTATGTCAATGTCTTATTCCGCTCTAGCGATCCATCTGTGAACCCTGGTCTGTCTGTGGACGGAGTACCTAGGGGCGCGTAGCCACCTTGTGTTTGCGATAGCGGGAATAGAGTACCCCCGAAATCGAAAGCTGAGGATATGGAATATGTGCTATGAGCTCTGTGGCGACCTATTCCTAGCTCGGCATCGTTATGCGGTTCTGCGAGAGGATCTTCGTTCTCGAGGGAGAGCTTGCGGGATGAGGAGACGCCATCGGGGGAGGAGGAGCGTGAGGACCCGCCTACGGAGCCGGGAGATGAGGATGCAAGGGAGGCGAGTTCAAGTGAATCTCGAGGCGCGGCGAGAGTGCCATTCCTGTTGCCTTGATATGTATTCGACATTGTCTCTTTGTGTCCAGTGGTATATGTTCGTCAAGGGGGGGGAGAGAGGATGGCGGAAAGGTATGTCGTCACGAGTGGCCAAGGGGAGTCTCCATTGCCTGAAGAAAATGTCGATGTCGAGAATGTGAAGTCTGTAAATAGGAGAAATCCTCAAAGTGAGTTGAAGTGAAGAGGAAACCACCAAGGGGTGTATTTTCTTGTCGATCATCCAATCGGCTCTCTCCTGGCCTAGATCTTCGAATTTCCCCTCCGCGATTTCTTTTTCTCTCCAATTGCACTTCCACATGAACAACTTACCATCTTTATGCTGTAAAAGCAGCCAGGGTTTCAGAGCTGTAGCTCGGCCTGTGCGCTATGCTTCAACCTCAGCCCCAACCCGAACGTCACCAAAGTCTTCCCGTTCCAACTCGCGCCGCTGGCTAAGCATCGTCTTCGTCGGCGCAACAGCAGCAGGCGCAGGCGCCTATATCCGATCTCAAAACAAATCATCCGCAACCTTGAATCCTGAAACGTTTACCAAATACAGCCTTGTATCACGCGAGCCCGTGTCAGCAACCAGCAGCCTATTCACGTTGCGGCCACGTAAACACAGCGACGGCAACTACGATGTCTACGAAGAAGCATGGCAGACAGGAGTCTGGAGTGTGATGTTCAAGCAACCACAATTACAAATTGGACGAGATTACACGCCACTGCCTACGACGGCGGCGACGTCGCTAAGCGTCGACGACGAGAATGAGGGCTGTCTGCGGTTTTTTATTCGGAAGGATCCCTTTGGAGAAGTCTCGCGATACCTGCATTCCATCGATGTAGGCGCTGACGTCGAGATGCGTGGACCCAAGATCGAATGCGCGATTCCGAAGGAAACGGAAGATATTCTCTTTATTGCTGGTGGAACGGGGATTGCGCCGGCTTTGCAGGCTGCGTATTCTCTTTTAAATCGCACGCACACAGAGCGTCGGCCGAAGATCCATATACTGTGGGCGAACCGGTTGAAGGATGACTGCGCTGGTGGTCACAGTGACTCGCTGAAGCCGCAGCCACGACAAGGCTGGTTCTCTGGGTGGTTTAACTCGTCGAAGAGTCATCAAACAACATTGGAAAATGCCGTGAATGATGTGCGAACAGAAGGCACTTCTATTATTGTGCGAGAGCTAGAGGCGCTCAAGTCCCAGTTTCCCGGGCAGGTGACTGTGGATTATTATTTGGACGAGGAAAATACGTTCATTGGAAAGGAAGATATCCGAGGTGCTATTGCCCCAGCGTCCACAAGTGATTCTCGCAAGAGCAAGTTGATTTTGGTGTCCGGCCCTGAGGGGTTCATCAGTTACATGGCTGGGCCCAAGCTGTGGGCGCAAGGCCAGGAACTCCAAGGCCCCCTAAAGGGAGTCATCAAGGAACTTGACCTCAAAGAATGGAGTGTTTGGAAGCTCTGAGTGCTTTCTCGGGCTTTTGGACCGCTGTTGTACCAATGTCGGAACGCTTTTGTCATTAAAACATATATATAGCATGGATATACTGGGAGTTATGTTGAATAAACAGTCGCAACTGTCTTGGACGCATTAGAGCGTCCTATTTCGTTACCCATCACACATTCCTGGCCAAAAGCCCCAGGTTGAATTCGCTCAAACACCGATATTATCTCCAAAAGTAATCTACTGTGATGTAGCAAAGTCCTCGAGGTACTTCACTAGCTTTTGTACGTTCTCCAATGGAACCGCGTTGTAGTTGCTGGCGCGCATACCACCCACACTGCGGTGACCCTTGAGGCCCTGGAGAAGACGCTTCTCAGCGCCAGCGATGAACTCCTTCTCCTTTGCATCATCGCCGCCGCCCACGCGGAAACAGATGTTCATGCGGCTGCGGACGCTGGCATCAGGAACAACCTGATACAATTGCGGGAACTTGTCCAAAGCACCGTAGATAAGCTGCGCCTTCTTGTTGGCGACTTCCTCTTGGCCGCTGACCTTTTGAGTGCTGAACTCGGCCATCAGGTCGGCCATGACCTGGCCGGCGATCCAGAGGTTGAAGATGGGGAGGGTGTTGTAGAGGGAGTTGTTCTTTGCGATGGTTGCGTAGTCGAGAACGATTGGGCCGGGGAGACCGCCAATGTTCAACCGGTGGAGGAGAGCAGGGGGAAGAGTCGCGGTCTGAGGAGGGAGGAGATCCTTGCGAACAATGGCAATGGTGATACCAGTAACACCGATGTTCTTCTGTGCGCCACCCTGTATATATTGTTAGAGTACCATTCCTATAACGCAGAGAGATTGAAGCCAACGTACGAAGATAACAGCGTATTTGCTGACATCAACCTTCCGGCTGATGAAGTTAGAACTCATGTCGGCGACGACGAGGCGCTCATCTTCAGCATCTTGACCCTGAGCCTCCAATGACTTGGGGAACTGCTGGAATTCGACACCGTCGACGGTCTCGTTGTCGCAGAAGTAGACAAACGCAGAGCCCTTGCCGCCCTCCTTCTTGGTAGGGGTCAACGACCAGGAATCCTCGGCAGGAATTTTTCCAAACTTCCCGTCGTTAGCCTTGCGAGCATCAAGGGCAATATTCACGTATTTCGAGCCGATCAGTCTGCTTGCTTCCTGGGAAGCCTTGAGCGACCAGGATCCAGTCACGAGGTAATCGAGCTTCAGATCCTCGTCAACCTCCTTCTGGAGTCTCTGGAAGACCAATTCGTCGACCTGGGCCTGTTCCGCACCGGGCTGTGCCTTCTTCACGTCGGCCTCGGCCTTGCGGCGGCGGCGCTCAATCCAGACAGGGACGAGGTTCTGCACGACAGCGCTGAACTCGCCAGTGCCTCCGGCCTGCATGAACAGGATCTCATAGTTATCAGGGATGTCGAGGAGGGCGGCAAGGTTGGCTTTGGCATCGTTGAGGATCTTGTTGGCGGTGGGCGAGCGGTGCGAGATCTCGCCGAGTCCGAGTCCGACGTCGTTGAAGTTGACGAATGCTTTCGCACCGGTCTCGACGACTGAAGTAGGGAGGGGAGCTGGACCAGCTCCAAAGTAGGAGATTTCTTGTCGGGAAGGCATGATGAGATGAATTGAGGTGGACTGAGGTAAAAGAGAAAAGCAGAAGCGGGAGAGAAAAGGACCAAACTGTGGACCGCAGTGGATCAACCTTGCAGGAAAAGTAAGAAGAGATATAGCTACTTATATTTGAAAATCGCAGGACTCACTGAAATATCAATGTGCAGCCTAATATATTCACCAGATCCGCGTTCACACATCCAATTGACTGTTTTATATGTCATTCCTGGCAACGGCGGGGTATGAGTCAGTTCAGTACAAGCCATTGACTCACTGTCTTGGAAGTTGAAGATGCAAAATCATTCCCTCAAATGGTTTGTACTGACTAAAATCGCCTTAGAGATAGATATATCGCAGACTTAGTATATCGGATTCTAATTGTCTAGGGTGCTAATCTATTCGAGATTAACGTTGAAATGGCGGGGTTGATCGGCATATGCAACGTTGTATAGTATGGAATGGCTGTTCTTTCCAGGTATATGTACAAGGTAGATAGAATAGAATATCTATGTTGTAGTTCTTTTCCTGAGTCCAATTGCTCTTTTCGTAGATTCAGTTCTTATTGAACAAGTGAGATAGTTATACGCCAAAAACAAAGGCAATAGAACCGACATCGGCGAAAGAGTCACGTGCTATAATATACTGGTTTGCAGTGTTTGTCTCCGAAGTATATCCAGCAATATAAATCCCAGGCTACTCATTTTTGAATTGAGATGTGGTTATGGCCTAAACTTGGAAGTGTAGGTCCTCTTTATGTAGAGGGTTGTATGTCGTATGGGAATGGTTCTGATTGGACAACCTTGCAACATTGGAAGGCTTAAAGGCAGTCACAGAAGTAACTATTGAGTCTAAGCATGGTTCGAAGATGTCTGTTATAATGGCAATATCCTCTGGCATATCTCTATTCTGAGAATGTAACAAGTTAAAAGTGCCTAGTGACCCTGAGACGGATATTCTATGATTTGAACTTCATGATCAAGCACCGAGAGGAGCTGATATACGGATATCTAGATCTAACTAGGATCAAATATGCTATTAGGGCGCGGATCATTTAACAAACTAAGAAGAAAAAAGAGAAATATCTCATAGATGAAAGAGGAAGTGATCGAGTAGCAATTAGAGAAGGCTCCCAAAACAGAATGTACTCTACTATATAACGGACAGAACTCGACCTCCTCCTCTTTCCCTCCTTCACTTCTCATCATACGTTCATCATTTTTTATTGAACGTCCGTCCATCGTCCGTCATCCATCGTCGGCCGTTCATCAACAAATCTTCACAACTTTCGTCCACTTCAGATCCACGTCGTCAATCATCCACCATGTATCACCCAGCAGCACCCCAAGACCAAAACAATCCTCTTCATCTTCCAATCTACGAATGCTGGTTCTGTGCAACACAGTGGATTGGGTTTTCTGGCATCCTCTTTCACCTTGAAGACGGTCGCTGCGTGAAGAAGGATCGCATCCGCACCCTCGCCTTCGAGTGTCCTGAGTATGGGTTCTATGGCAACCGTCTACGCGACGCGAATCCATTTTTCTGTTTCAAATGTGGTGCTCAATTTCCACAAATTTCTCACCTCTTTCACCATGTCGAGCATACGCCTTCCTGCTCATACTTGCTGAACAATTCTGAGTGTCTCGGTGCTCTCCGTAACTTTTACATTGAGTACTATGAGTGCCCTGGCTCTGACTTTATCCACTATTAAGTCTCTTGTACCATTAATACTGAAGCCAGCTCGCCACTGGAGCTGCGGTGGGCTGCTTGATACTATGTGAGCGCGTTGAGGAGGATCAGTTTGCTCGGCTTGACAGGGGGAGAGACTGGATATGGGATTGTTTTTTTATTTGTTCTGCATGGAGCAAGGATGAGCTACAGTGTGGTGAGGCATGGTAACTCTTCTCTAGAATCCAAAAGGCAATGGCGTAATGTATGGATGGGTAGAATAGCTGACATCTCCAAATAACATCCATATTTATTGAATTCTTCCATTTTGTATTGTTTGTATACCAGTATTGCTATTGATAGAATACTTGACAAAGTGAGACTCTATATATTAGGATCATAGTGTGTGCTCAACTGCTAAAGGGTTCCTTCTCGGGCAATCGTCCTATACATGTATGGAAAGCCCTAGACAATAGACAAACTAAAGGAATAACACAAAGGAAGGTAAAAGAAACACACAAAAAAAAGCAAGGCTAAACAAACCCCCAAAGGAAAGTAATTATAACTGAATAAAGGTAAAAGAGACCCTACAGGAAGAACCCACATGGATATGGACTGACAGGGATAATGAAGCTATTCATAGTACACCCTGCACAACCAGACATCGGCGGTTATCCGGTCTACTCTACACATAACCAGCCCCTACCAGACTATTAGCTTATTCAAGATTATAGACTAGAAATACATCTTTTTTTCTTCTTCTTCCGAGCAAAGTTAGGAGTCCAGTTTCATTATTGTCTCAGGCTGCAAGGAACCTCCAAGATTGTCAGCCCCGGTGACAGGGCAAAGGCATGACGTTGAGTGTTCTGCAGCGCAACGTGGGTTTCTTATTTTTATTTTTATTTTCGGGACTTTTTGCTCTTTTTCTCTTACTATTTGCTGTGCTATTTACAATCCTTCTAGAAGGAACCGTCATTCCATGCAGCTATCCCACTATTCTTAGATCTGACATGAGGTTTGGAATTGAAACATTCCAAGGTTGGAATATTGAATATTTTAGTCCAATAGTAAATAATAAAGAGACTGGAGAGCCAATAAAAAAAAACAATCATAGAAATACCTGAAGTGTGAGATGTGATCATGATGATCTACATCCCCCCAAGAAGCATGTTTCAACCTCAAACTCGCTATCTACAGGACTACCCAGCTGAAGCTCGCCTCAGAATTTGAATTATTCATGATACCGTAGCACTCATGAGGACAATAATAGCCCCAAAGCCTGAATATATCGATTTACGGCGTGCTATTTAGGGCGTGCTGGGTTTTGGTATGGGGTATATTTGGACCAAGAATCCTAAGTAAGTACTTTACGGAGACCGTACCCAGATCCTGACTCAGATATGTAGATCATTCATGTTTGACAGAGCTCTCTGCATAGAGATATTGGGGCTAATTTTTGGAAATGGACTCGGGGTGTTCGTTTCTGGGTGCCTAGGATGATAATCAGGAATGGGGGCCCTGGCGACCAAGGCAGACGATTTTGGGATTCCATTTTGTTCCTTATAAGTATCAGGTTGCTAATCGGTAGAGGTGGCTCTTGTTTTTATCATTTTACACATTATTAGTCTATCGGGCTGCTATTCATACACAATTGCATCGGCTTGTTACAGTTTCCTCGCCGACACATCATCTCCAATCTACCACTTTCAAGATATTTTGCCAAATATCTCTGCCTAAATCATTCATCATAATGTCTCCTGCAATGGGCCGAGGAGGATACAATGCCCCTGCCAACTGCCCATGCCCCAAGCCTCTGTCTCTCGGCCAAAATTGGGGGGTCCAGAACGTGCATGATGGACAATGCACTCCCAGCAATCATTTCAATCAGCTCGATTGCAATCAGCAACCGATTTCTATCACGAATACTTCATCGTGAGACAGCGTTGCAAGCCAGCCTCATCATTGGAGCCATCCTTGAATCGAACCGTTCACTTGCCGACACAGAATCTACGACAGTCAGCTCATCATCTGGATCAGCAAAGCAAGAACAGCATCCCCTAGTACTTACTTCTCAAATACAACTCCCAAAACATCCTCGACATCTCCACTCTCGCCTTTTCCTGTGATCTTGGCCAGCATATCAGCCGCAAAGCGCAGATGTTCCGCAGCAGTAACAATATCAACTTCAGATTCAGCATGGGAATAAAGAGAGCCGAGCTGTTTCTCACTCGAGGACTCATCAAGGCATTCGACAGAGGAGGCTTGAGATAGGAAGTCGTCCAGATGATCAAGACATTTTTGTAAATTAGAGCTTTGGCGATGTGTGACACCTAGGGAATCTTCCCAATAAGAAATATCATATTGACATCCATCTCCGTCCGCGCCAAGGGGCGAGGCAATCTGCTCAAAAGTCGTAATTAGTCCACGTAGAAAGACCTGTAGATTACCCGGGTCTGTGGCGGTATTGAGAGACGATGCTCCCCGCTTGGCTTCCTCGCAGGAAATGGCAAACACGCGGTCTACCGGAACAGAAGGGAAGATGTCGTGGATGGTGTCAAACAATGACTGCGGTACACTACTTTCCAACGGAGTATGTAGCTTGTCACACTTGTTGATAGCCACGACGAGACATTTGCCCGCCTCAACGCAGTCATTAACAGCACCAAGAACCTCCGGCTCAACGAATAGCCGGACGCCAGTGGCAGTGTCTTCCAGCGAAACAACCACAATAACGACATCGGACTCCAAAGCCCTCTCTCTAGCCCGACGAATACCCTCCTTCTCAACAGCCCCAATCACAACTCCTTCGCCGGAACTGCCCTCAGCCCGAATCCCCGCCATATCCCCAAGCTTACAATACCATCCCCCAAGATCAAGCCCGACATCAACAATATCCCTCGTAGTCCCCTGCTCGGTACTAACGATAGCAGCCTCCTTCCCAACAACCCGATTAAGCAACGAACTCTTGCCAGCATTGGGCGCACCCAATAGCGCAACCCGAATACCAGTCCTGAGCAACTCCCCCCGCGACGCATTGGCAATATGGAAACCGATCTGGACGCTCAGCGCGCGCACCTGGCCCGCAACAGACGAAACAAGCTCTTCGGTAGACTCATCGAAATGCTGGTCCTCGGAGAAATCAATCAACGCCTCCAGCTCGCCGCGCGCATACAGCAGGCCCTGCCGCCATCGCTCGTACCGCTTCACCAATGCGTCGCTCGAGCCGCGTACAGCCAGCCGTCGCTGCTGCTCGGTATCGGCGGATAGTGTGTCACCGAGTGCTTCAATCTGAGGCAGACTGAGGCGGTCGTTCATGAAGGCGCGGCGGGTGAACTCGCCTGGTTCAGCGTAGCGCACTGTTTGCTCCGGGGTGTTTGTTTGTGCAATTGCTGAGAGGATGGCTTTTGTTATTGCGGGTCCGCCGTGGATGTGTAGTTCGAGGATGTCTTCGCCTGTTGCAGTTCGTGGGGAGGGGAAGTAGAGGACTAGGGCGCCGGCATCGAGGATTGTGTTTGCAGTTGGGGGTTGGGTTGGGTCATAAAGGGTGCGAAGGGCTGCATAGCGCGGTTTTGGGAGAGGGTGATTTGGGCAGAGACTTTTGTATATCTAGGCGTTGTTAGTCTGGTGATTTGGTCTGGTGATTTGGTGGTTTGGGGTTATCTTTCAGGGAATACATACCGAGGCACAGGCCGGACCTGATACGCGCACAACTGCAATGGCTGCTCGCCCAGTTGCAGTGGAGAGCGCATAGATCGTAGAGTCTCCATCTAACATGAACCTAGCAGGGCGAGTCGACGAGAAAGCTCGAGCTTGTCCGGGAGTCCGCCGGGGGCCTGGCGATTCGGAGAGAAAGCCATGACGTCGGATATAGAATTTATTTGGTATTGTTTGCCATGGTTGACTCGTTGGTATGCCGAAGGGAGAGGCCCAACGCAGTGCTCGGCGAGACGCTCGCATGCGCAAGATTAAACCAACGAAATATTGGTAAATATCGAGAGAGTTTTCAAATGTTTAAATATTTAAATGTTGGCTCGATGTTTATCTTGCGATAAAACATGCACGTGATTGATAAGAACTATACAAGATACCCGTCATGGGCGAGTACGAACTACGAGTGTGACAACATTGGAAGAGACCGAGAACATATGTAGATTTTGTCTAACTGCGGGTATTTAGATCCTCATCCTGAACAGCATAAGTAATGGCAGTCCATCTAATGCAGCTCTGGTCAAGGATACACAGCAGATATAAAACATGATCGCGCCTGCGCTCCGAAATAGGAAGTAAAGAACAAGACGACAATGTAGGGAACACTGAACATCAAGCTCAATATGCAATTCGATGATACGCCCTCCAATCATGGCGACATTTCCATGGCAGGTAGCGTTTGATGAAGACAGGGGGAAAAGAGATTATGTACAAAGAGAGAGAGAGGGGGAGAGACAGGGTGTGGGTGTCAGGTGGGTATGCGGAAATGGATGACAAAAAGAAAAGAGGCAATGATTGCACATGAAGGGATAATGTTAGGAGAAAAAGGAAAAGAAGAAACAAAGAAATGGTATCATCACACCATGCTCGGCTCGTCAAATCAAGGAGGGCGGCTCAAAGAGTAGTGTAGGTAGGGAATGGGTATTATACAATCGAGTGCGGTTGTAGTAGTAGTGAGTGAGTGGTGGTGTGGATGGCGATGGAACTCATTGAGGTATGGATCCGGTGCGTCATCAATGGGAATCGATAAAACATTAAATTAAATCGGCTGTCCGTAGTGGGCTCAATCCGACAAATCAGTTGGTTTGTGAGGAGAGGAACCGTCAATCGAGAGGTCCTGTGATAATGAATCGTCTTGCTCCGACACGACAATTGAAGGCGGAGGTTGAGACTCGTTAGGCGGGCTAGGGAGTTGTTGATCGTCTGTGATCATCGAGTCTGTATGCGAAGGAGAAGCAGGCTCTTGAACTGTAGGAAGGCCACTAGAACCATCCGCGCTATCTTTGCTCCCGCTTGTACCGGGATTGCGGCGCCTCATGCGGCGATTACGACGCT